CTCTTTCAAGGCTTGAAAAGCGGTCTCACATGTTGCATCCCACATGTAAGATACATTTTTGCTTGTTCGTTTGGACAACGGGTGAGCAGCAATAGAAAATTGGAGCACGTACCTTGTGTGGAGACATGAAGTTAGTAGTTGTGCCACAATCAACCAAAACAAGGAGGTAACAGTGGTTAGTGAGCAACTTGAAGACGATCAACTCCTTTCCCCCTTGAGCATGTCGTTGTTTCATCTCGGCCCAGTGCTCTAGGTGATAGTGAAGTTGACCATCTCAGACGCCTTCCAAGGCTCGACATAGAGAACATTACATGTGTCAGCCTTGGAATCAGCATATGATGGGGCTTCAAGAGAGGACTGTCGATCTGCATCAGGTTCAGTCTCCCTCACTGTAGAAGGTGCTGATGCCATTTCTACGCGCGATTCGGGTTTCCCTGCAGCCTGCAACGACTTTTGGACTTCATGATTGGGTTTCAGGCAATGCAGACAAACTCCCTTCTTGATCCTAGCCTTCCATTTCACTTTCACTGATCCGAAGGTGTAACCAAGGTTTGGTTGCAGCATCCTCTGATTTGGTTGGGATCTTGTCTCCTTTGGGGAGTGAGACATAGTTCTTCCCTGGATTCCGGTGTGGTCCCTTCACATTGACAGACTTTCTTAAGGCATTAAGTTTCTCTTCGTCATTATTGGTATCAGATTCATGGGCTGAAGATGAATAGGTTGTATCAAAGTTTTGTTCTTGATCGTCATCAAGAGTGGGGTCATCTGCATATGCCTCCTCATCAACCTCCAACAAGTCATGCATAACAAAGCGGTTGCTGCCTCTAAAACCGCTTGCCACCTATAGGCTTCTTGTTGCCTGTTGTGGAAACGAGGTCTTGTGCCTCGAGGTTGACTACATCCTGCATAACGGAGAGCCAGTCTGCGTATCCAATGAGATCTTTGCCTCGACGATGTGTGTAAGCAGTGGGAACCACACCTTTTACAACATCCATGCATGACTTTGCAGTCATATCCAACCCGAGAGTAGCAAAAAGTTTGCTTACATACAATTGTAGGTTGTGCATGGTGCCCTTCCACTTGTTGCGCTTGAGATTGTCAAGCTTGTTCCTTACTCTAGCAGCAACATGTGGATCTTTGTATTGTTTAATCAATATTTCTTCCAGTGTGGCCACAGGTGTGGCCTTGAGCCACTGTGTCAAATTAAGCTTAGTGTACCCGACTTGTGTATCTTGGACTTCTAAAGAGCCCAGGACAGCGGGTTCGACATTGGTCCCCATGATCAAGGACTGGCTCATCAACTGAGTTCCCAGTACCTTGAAGTAGGCTCTCATGGAGTTGATCCAGGATTCCACGTTTTCCTGGCCGTCGTACTTAGATGGTATTTGTACCGTCTTTCTGTCCATGTAGAGACTGCTATAACCGACACCAGCAAATGCTGTGTCTGAACTCAAGGCTGCAGCAGTTGCATAAATCCCTGCGCTGTCACTTGTTGAAGCGGCAGCGGGGTTTGCATCTACTCCAGGTCCTGATTGAACCACACTTAGAGACGAACAGGTAGAGGCATGGAGAGGAGCAGGGACAGACTGGTTAGCAGCATTTGAGGCAGAAGGTAGAGGAAGATAATCTGGGATTTGGGCCTGATGCAGATTTGCCATCTGCTGCATCTGATCACTGTGCTCCTTGGCCATATCCACAATTTGCATTCGCAGTTCACTTACCTGGTCAAAAAGTTTAGCGATCTGACCAGGAATTTCACTGAGTAGGTGACAGTCTATGAGAGCACGCACATATGCGACCAGATCTTTCTTGACCTCAGTGTCGGGCAAGGAGGGGACTGTTTTAAGAACAGCCGCTTGGTCTGCAACAGAGGTTTTCCGCTTTTCGTCCTCTGCCTTCTTTTCTCTCTCCAGTGGGTTGTTGTAGAGGCCTTGGAACAATGGTTTGTCCTCATCGTTGGCTGCATCCAGTTGGGCCTTTAAGGCCACATAAGCCTTTACTGCTGCCGTTTCAGCAAGTCCCTCAAGACGGGTGCTCTCTCTTTTCCTTCTCTCTCTCTCTTCCTTTTGTCCACGAGTCTCTACAGGCATCGAAATATGAACTCAGAAAAAAAGAAGCAAATTGAAGAGCTCAAAAAAGAGAAGGGTGAACTCCTAGCTGGAGCGGCATTACATTTGGACTAGAGAGCAACCAGAAAAATAGAAGTGATTCAGATGAGAGTTCTGTTCTGGCGTCTGAGCTTGATCAGACCGAATACGAGATCCCCTCGAGTCCAATCTGATCAGTTTCGTGACCATACATCAAATTCAGACAACGAGTAATGACATGCAACAATGAAGAATTGAGTGGTGTATAAGGTGCGAGTCAAGCTACGGACCGTGCGGTCAAAGTATACAAAACATCTCAGCTGAGATCCCCTCGGCAGCAAGTGCTCTAACCAAAGAATAAAACTTTGCGTTCGAGACAGAAAGAGAATGATCTAATGTCAAACAGATTTGGGCCTAAGGGGCCCTTCTTGCTTGGGCCTGGTCCCACTGGGTACCCAGAAGGTCCCAAGTAGGTCGTGACCAAGTACCAACCAAGAAGAGTCCCACATGGACCTACTTTCTGCTCTATCGAAGTTGAAAATGAATTCAAACTTCAGAAGGAACCTATAGTCTACATCCGGTCAGAGACAAAGAGACAATGCACTGTAGAAAGATATGGCGTCCAAAGCAAGATACCTCATCTCTTCATCCATCAGGTGAGAAAGCAGTTTGCATACTCAGATTCACAAATCAAGACCAGAGAGGAGTAGGAAAAGAAACCTAGTGTAACCCCAACAGGCAATCAATATCATGCACACACATACATGGGCATCCCGTAGGTGCATGACACTTACCTGAGTGGCCTGAGCTTCGAGATGAATAATATAACTTAACCCGCTCTCCTTCTGACCCATTTAACGCAACCCCTACACTAGTGTCCTATCCACTAGGAGGGTCTGACTCCAACACCAAACTGCAATGCCGGATCCCCTGCCGATGCTGAAGAACAAAGTAGCAACCTGCAGTCCGTAGATGCGGAATGGCTGCTTTCCTTAAGCGAGTGCCTCTCACTGTCGCCTCTCCCAAATCTCGCATGAAGTCTTCTCAAAGTGTCTCACCACTCCAATCTTACTCTCACACAACCCAGTTAGGTCAAGTGTCGACCAAACACGACCTAACCAGGTGGGGGCAGCTTCCCTTAACCACGCTGCCCCACTTCCCTCAACTTCCAGCCCTAGCCCTCAGTGGTAGCCCTCCACTTAGGTTAGGGTTGGAGCGGCAAAGTCAACTCTCGCTAGCAAGTAGAATCCGATTTGATACCAATGTTATGATCCTGGCCAATTTCGAAGTTCACATTCATCAGAAAGTACAATGTCGTCCAATTGCAAAAAGATATGAATGAACTTGAGAGGAGAGAGAGGTCGAAGTACACATTCATCAGAAAGCACAATGCCGTCCAATTGCAAAAAGATATGAATGAACTTGAGAGGAGAGAGAGGGAAAGAAGAAGAAGAAGATAAAAGCAAGAAGAAGAAAGAAGGAAGAAGAAGATGTACACCAGCATAGGCCAATGCTAATGCTCTTCTTCTTTGCCAACTACTCTCCTCCTCCTTATCTCCTTCTCTCTTATTCAATCAAGAAATAACAATAATAATGTTGAATGGCTGAACCAGAATCAATGTCCGAATCCCTCTTCTACTGCAGGCATCACATGAGGTCCACCATAGCCATGGCCACCCTTCTTCCTCCTCCTTCCACGGCCGAGGCTATGGCGGACTACCAGGGCACTGCCCTGCTGTGCAAAGGACAACACAAAGCAGCTATGGCTGCTCTAACTCAGGCCGCCATGCCTGACTCTGCCTCGAAGCTTCTTGGTGTAGCTGAACCCCAACGGGGGGCTTCCAGATGCTGCGCCCACCAAGGTGATGAAGATGGCATTCACCATAGCCAGGTTAGTACCTCTGGTGCTCCTCCCTCCTAGTCCTGGGCTTCTTCCTCCTCCTGTCCTTGCTCCTCCCCAGCAGTGCTGCTCTTNGCTCCTCCCTCCTAGTCCTGGGCTTCTTCCTCCTCCTGTCCTTGCTCCTCCCCAGCAGTGCTGCTCTTCCAGCCAGCACTCCAACCAGTGTGTCGTCAAACTTGCACACCGATAATGAGGAGGAGCACCTTGCTCCTCCTGGAGATATAGCGGTCTGCTTGCCTCTTGGCGAGTGACTTCCTAGGCCGCATGGCCTCCAGGCAACCGGTACCTCCTCCCTTTCGGAGGGAAACATCATTGCAGACTCTGATATTGCCCGTACAGGCCCTAGACTCAGACTGGTTGGACTGGTACCCGCCTAGAGCTAGCCGACAACTACTGGGCCTCTAGAAATGCCAACTTTTGTCTTTCTTCTGCTCGGCCTCGAGTACCTGGCGAATCTACCTCTACCTGGTGTGGTACCGTCCTACCTGCTACTTGAGTGTTTTCCGCTGCTCTAAGTGTCCCGGGCTTCTTTCCCCGCCACTTGAGTGTTTCCCCGCTGCAACCCTCAATGTCACGGCCACAAGTAAGTACGGGCTCTTCGGCCCTTTGAACAAACGAGTGCCCTTGCGGGTCACACACACACTCAAGCCGACAGGCACTCAGACAGGCATGCAGACCAGCATGCACGCACCCACACAGACTTAGAAAGCTCAGCAACGAGCGGGAAATTCAGTAGCCATACATTCCATGAGCAAAACTCAGAAATCAGCTCTGTGTCTCAGTCCGTGTTTGGCGGGTCATTACACATCTGTGGCCATGATCCTGCTGTTGATTTTTTTGTTTGTTGTGATTTAGTAAAACTTGTAAAAAAGGTTTAGCTACTAACATAATTGTACCCCTGAGAAGTGGAACTCTGTCTGGCAACAGCCTTATGTATGCACAGCTCAGTGACCAGGCTGGGTATAAATTCATGGATTTCTTCGCCACACTGTTTTGTTGCTCTCTGGAAGCAGGGAAAGAAGAAGAAAGTGGGTAGTGGGCCACTGGATGGACAGCGACGACCAGAAGAAAGCGATAACAGTACTCTGGGGTCTGGCTGTGGGGCGATTGCTTCTACCATGGGAGAAGAAATGTTCACCTTTGTTTTAGAAAGGTGGCAAGGGTTTGCAGCAATGGACGCGAAAGAGGTCAAAGACTGGGCACCACTGGGTGCTTCTGGATCACTTCTAAAGAACATGGTGAGCATTGGGTCCAAGAGTTTTCTTCTCATCCCATTTGATCCTGACCTTTTTACTATGCATAACTTAAAAATCAAACACTTTCAAACTCCACGATCATCCCACCCATGTAGAATTTGCGAAGACATCACACTCCAAGGAATCCACATGAAATGGTTGGATCAGGCTTTTAACACTTGGCAATGCTGTTCCAATCCTCAGGGCAGATGCATAGACAACACATTTTGCTCACAGGATATGTTGGGACAAGAGACCAGGCCTTTCCACCTACGGATTCCTCTCTCCTGACACTCTTCCTATTAAGTAAACGCTATCCACTGGGTTTAATACATGCTGGTTCCTGGGTCCGATACACACTGTGACAACAGTGAAACTCCAGTCTGTAGTGCAATTTTCAAATGTGATGTTCTGTTGCTCTCTCTCTGTTGCTCCCTCTTGTAATAAACCCACTTTAGATCCGCACAGATGCGTGCAAGGGTCGTAACTTTTTGGTCAAAGGCCAGAGAGAGGGGTCAAAAGTCACGTCCTGAGTCGTTTAGAGGTCTGGGGAAGTCCCTAGGGTCAAGGGGTATGAAGCCCTGAGTCAAAAGCAGCGTCCAGTACCCCCACGAGGAACAGTTGACTCTTGGAAAATCAAGAGTCAGCCCCAGCACGTGCAAGGAACCTGACTGTTCATAACTTGCTGGAGTGTATCTCATTGCATGCATAGATGTCATCACACAGATAGAGAAGCTTCACACAAAGCCAAGTCGAGATGAGATGAGAACCAGATAGCGCAGCTCATGTTAACATGACAACATTATATAAGAGTATCTCGAGTCCAAAAGTTCAGCGCCAACAAAGTACAAGTCTCTTTCGTTCAATCGTCAATACAAGGCGTGGCTCAGCCAGTGTCTGCCCTCAGATCACGAGTATGGCGCCAACAGGTAAGTATCCACCATATCCAACTCCTTAATCTGTCTTCTCTCTCTTTCCCTCTCGAGATCCCTGTCTTGGTTCCCTTGTCTCACTCTGCATGCTCACTCCCTACTTATGAGGATCTACTCTGAATGCTACTCACTAATGTCTACTACTAACCCCTCTACTTCTACTAACAATGCTGGTGCAGCTATGGCTGCTTCTGCCAGTCAGCGCCCAGCCGCTTCTTCTCCTGCTTGCCCAGCTTCCAGCCAGCGCATTCTCCCTGCATGCTCGCGCACAAGTGCTTCAGCACTTTCACGCATCTATGCCAGTGGAGATCTGTCGTGTAGGGAGGCTGGCCTGGTCTCTTTTAGTGCTGGCCTCCCTTCGTGAGGTCTGAATCAGTCTTCCTTGGGTCTGTCCCCAGTCCCAGACCACTGCAGAATGTGTCCCAGTACCTTTCCCTCAGGGTCTGCTGCTGCGGCGGCCTCTAGGCCTGAATCTGGACTGCCTATTGGACTTTGACTTGGACTGGGACTCTACCTCATTGACTTCCATTCGAACAGACACAACTTCTGCACGAACAGACACATCTACTGCACGAACAGACATGACTTGCACAGCCCCTGGACGAACAGACGTGACTCTCACAATTGAATACTGCAACTGTTCGTCCTGGGGCACGAGTGTGACCTTTGACACAACTCGTCACTTCAGTTAGGAGGTGACTTTTGACCCAGAGAACATGTCTTTTTATCTGCTTTTCACGAATTGAGTTCTGGTCGAGTGGGCCCCATTATGCTGCGTTCATCTTTCAGGGTCTGAACGAACGCGGAGCCGCTACCCCGCATCGACGACCTCTTGGATAGAGTGCAGGGATGCCGGTACTTCACCAAGATAGATCTGAAGTCTGGATACCGTATCCGGACTTCAGATCTATCTTGGTGAAGTACCGGCATCCCTCCACTCTATCCAAGAGGTCGTCGATGCGGGGTAGGGGCTCCGCGTTCTTAACAATGATGGCATTGAGGCCGGATGATGCTAAGGTGGCCAGCATACGTGCCTAGAGGACGAATCTATAGGATGTCTCCTGCGGAATTGGATGAGCTCCGCCGCCAGCTCAGGGAGCTCACAGAAAATGGATGGATTCGACCGAGTACCTCCCCTTACTGTGCGCCAGTTTTATTTGTCCCAAAGAAGGGAGGTACCCTGAGGATGTGCATTGACTATAGGGGCCTCAATGCCATCCTCAGGGTACCTCCCTTCTTTGGGACAAATAAAACTGGTGCACCGTAAGGGGAGGTACTCGGCCGAATCCATCCCTTTTCTGTGAGCTCCTTGAGCTGGCGGCGGAGCTCATCCAACTCCGCAGGAGACATCCTATAGATTCGTCCTCTAGGCACCTTGCTACCTGGGACAACCTCTATCGCATGGACCACCTCCCTTTCTACCACGCCTGTGGGCTCCTCAAAAAGGTCTGAATACTGAGCGACGACTGATTCTATCTCTGAGGTTTTTTTACGGCCTCCCCTTTCTCAGAGACAAAGACTAGATACATGCCCTCCTCGCGATTTTGCTTGTCGTAGTTATAGAAAGCGGAAGCACACATGCAACCGTAGTTCTCCACTAGACTGCTAGCCTTATACTTCTGCAATCTAACGGTCCTACCATTTGGCAACTTGTGTATCAACCCCTTGCTATCCCAATCAAACTGAGGCTGCGCGATCTCGAGGTAGTACATGCCTAGTAGCATATCGAAAGGCAGTTCGTCGCTGATGAGGAATGAGATTTTGTGTCTCACTTCCCCTCCTCCATAAGAGAAGGAACAAACTACGTGCTTGACATAGTCCTTTACTACCATTTGGTGCTTGTTGGCTAGCGTAGAAGCTACAGTTCTGCTAAGCCGCTGCACTTTGCCCCCTAAGCGCAGTCTATCCACACAAGCACGACTGATGAAGTTTCGTGTAGAGCCTATGTCTGCAAAGGCGCCAACTTTGCGGCCACCTACATCAACCTCTATCACGAAATGCTCACCCTTTGGACCTCTACTGATCATCGCCCAAGAATCTCTGGGGTCCTTCCCTGACCGCTCAGATTGCAACTCTTCTAGGGACTCAGACACATCTCTCGAATAGAGCATCGGTGGGTCTGAATGTGTTTGCAGGGTGATGTGTGGGCCACTAGCCTTGGCCAACGCTTGAAGTGGAGAAGGCAACATAACCTCTTCAGCACGAGTAAGAGCGGCTAAAACTCCTACTGGCCCGAGGTGTTTCCCTACGAAGTGCTCGCAGAAGCACTGCCACAGTTCGAAGATAAGCCTACCACAACTGGTGATGCCACCTTCGTAGTGACCTTTTTGCCTCGGCATGTCCTGGGCGTGTGGCCATAGTTGCCACAGTTCATGCAAGTGGCCCTAGCAACTCGGTCACGCCAAACCTCGTAATCTAAACCAAGTTTTACCCAGGCGGGCGTTCCTTGGTCGCCCTGGCCCGTGGACCGTATTACCTTCTTCTTCCCGGTCCCCCTAGCCTTTTCTTTGATGGGTGTCACGACTCCCCCATCTGAAGTCTCGCTGGCCCCATCGTGCTTTGTCTCCTCCCCAAGGTCTGGGAACTCGTTAATCTCCGTCGTTTGACCATCGTGGTCAACAAACATTAACTGACCCTTCTTCTTCCAATCTTGGGGAAGTCTCTTCTTCCTACCATCTACTGGTCCTTGATGAGCGGATCCAAGCTTTGCCTCTATATCTAAGGCTTTCTTGTTGAAAGAAGAAAAGTCATGCTGGTCTATATACGCCTCATCCACGAGTTTATTCTTGACGTTTGTAGGTAGACATCGCAAATAATATGTGAGGAGTACCTGGGGGTTATACTGCACACTCGGTACCACGATCAACCTTTCTACGACGTCTTTGACTTCGCGAACAGTCCGGTACCTTTTAGTACTAAGACTGTTAATTGCGTCGGTGGCCTTTTGAGCACCTTGCGGGTCGTGGCATTTAGCATATACAATCCGTACGAAATGTTCCAATGTCTAAGACTGAGCCCAGGCATCGAAATTCTGACCATAGCCCTGTTGCTGCACTAGACCATTTAACCAACGTGCTGCTGATCCTTCTAAAAAGGAGGCAGCCACTATGACTTCCTGCTCTCGCCTGGTAAGCTTGTGCCTCACATAGGTAGGCACAGTCCTTACCCAGGTGTCCAGGTCCTCATCCTTCTTCTTGTTGCCAGAGAAGGGCTTAGGACTCAGCAACGGGATCTTGGGCATCCACTGCATGGGTTGCATGGGCCCAGGAGATTGCTGCAGTGGCTGCATAGCCACCGAGACAGGTTGCTGCACACTAACCTGAGCCTGGCTTGACAGTGGGACTGTAGTAACCACTGTTGTTGATGGTACTGCTGAGACTCTAGTTGCTATGTAACCACCCGGAGGGGGCATGCCAAACATGGGTGAGAATGGAGGTCCTACCGGAGGCAGCGTCACTGATGGACCCGCACCCGGAGGGGGCGCTACAGCAAACTGAGGCTGCCTCGTCATGGGACGAGGAGCCTGCAGTGCAGCCAGAATCTGCTTCTGGCCTGCCATTAGTTCAGCCAACACTTCCTGCTGGACAGCCTGCGCTTCTGCCACACAAAGAAGCGAGTTACGCAGCGCTCGTATCGCAGGGTCAAGCGCTGACTCATCTAATGCTTCTAATCTGCCTAGCTCCTCTCTCCTGCTACCTAGTCTAGCTTCTCCCATGATAGCTCTCCTTCTCCTCTCTGCTGCTTCATCCAACTGCCGTTGCAACTCATCCTGAAGCTCTTCTGCTTGGAGGATCTCATAATCCTCTGGCGTGAGTTGAGTCTGCTAGCTGACTTGCAAGCTAGCACTCTGGCTAATGGACACCCGAGAACCACTCTGACTAACTCCTGACGAAGTGGCCTGTGAAGAAGCCTGTGACATGGTAGAGGAAGTAGCCATGGTCGTACCGGTGCTAGCTGTAGTCCTACACCTAGTGCTGGCCGCGGCGTCCCTCGCTCTCCTTGCTGCTGCTCGCTCTCTAGCCTCTCTTCGCAGTCTCCTCTCGTCTCCTGGTCCTAACTCTAGGAAAGTCA